TTTGGTTGCAATTAGGTGAGAAGGCTGCTTGGGATAAGTACTAAAGCAGTATAAGCGTAGTATCCATACAAAATGATTTAGCAAACTACTGATTTTGGGCCGGTTGCTCAGTGGGTAAATGTAAATAGTCTTAAGTGCTACACAGTTAGTTCACCAGCTGTGAATTCAGTTTTTCATCTATGGTTTTGGTTAGGCGATAATGATATAGTGATTATTCTGGAGAATTTAACAATAACCTACTGGTATAATGACAGAAGAAAAAAATTCTTAGCATATGTATTGGGAACATAATTAACAAGACATTTTTTTGTACTTATTTTTTTTTCCTCATGAAGCATAAAATTTTGGAAAAAAAGCTTATAAAATATCACAGTGGTAAGGAGACAATTGATTTACGTAATTCTCGAGATTATTTAACAGTTTACTTCCTTTTTAGTTTTTCGAAAATCATTTTTTTCTCTGGTTTTGAGAAAATACCTAATCAATAATAAGGAGGCAATTGATCTGCGTAAATCTTATAATTATTTAGTAGTTTGTTTCCTCAGTTTTTTTTCAACGATTATTTTCTGGTTCCATTTTTTTTTGCTCAATTTGTTTTCGCTAAGCGACATATAAAATAAACTTATTGAAAATATTTATTCAACTGAAGTCTTTTTCTTTTGATCATACCGTACCGTTTTTTACTCTTTTTCTTTCCTCAACTGATTGTTTTCACTTTTTTTTCACAGACTTAACAACTTTCGACTCTTTTTTTTTTTAATGACAGTATCCATTTACTCTAGTATTTTTAGAAGTATTTTTTAGAAGGGGCTCTCAAGGAGCAATTTAAGCAAACAGTCAAATGGAACAAAATTTTGTTGGGTTTTACGTACAACTGAAAGCTACTTTTTGGCCTGTGCCACTAAATGTTGTTTAATGGTATTTTTTCAGCTAGAAGAACGGATGACATCAACAACAACAACAACAGCAAAACAGTAAAAGTTATTGTTTTTTGTGTGAAACAAAATTTGTCCAACTTTTTCTTGTAAAAAAAGACGCATTTTCACGACTAATTAAATATTGTTGGAAAGGACCATTCAGTAAGCTGGGAAACGTGGGGAGCGGGAAGTTTGAAGGGTGAGTGAAAGTGGAAAAAAGAAGAGAAAATTTAAAATTGATACTGGTTTATCAATATTTTTTTTTTTTGATTCTTTCAATTCGTCAATGTGTTAGTGAAGGAAGATTCTGTAATTGTTGTACATAAACAACGGCCAAGGATGTGATAACAAACTTATAAGGCTCGAAAATTTTAAATGTTGAATGCGATCAAAGCGACTGTATGCGAATGTAAAAAACTGTTGATAACAGCTCTATTCTTATAGTATCATTTCACGGGTTACACAAAGATCATATTGATGGACTATTCAAAGAACAATGAATTATTGGTATCCAATTAACCAAATAGCACTTTTTCTTCTGTTTGTTTAATGTCTTTTGCCGTTTTAATTGAGCTTAATCTCTTTCTCCTTCTTCTTTTTATCTGTATGTTATTCTTTTTCTCTGTATATAATATCTTTTATTGCTTACGATAAAACAAATAGCAGAGATTCTTCCTTGAATAATCTAAATTACGCCACTGAATGTTATACAAATTACAACGTGATACGTCCACCACAAATGGATGATGGTGATGTTTGAGAATATCTGTCTTGTCACATCTGTATAAGCTTACATTGTTTAACGTGTAATCAACTAAAGTTGAAGAAGCAAAATAAAGGGTAAATGAAAGAAAAAAAAAAAAAGAAAACTTTAGATAAAACTGATTAAAGTGCGAACTTTTTTTATTTCTGGATACAAAATTGGCACATTCCTGGAAACAATTGGTGCAGAGCGGAAATTGGCGTAAGAAGCGAACGGAATTCGTATAACATAGCGTCTTTTACCAATTTCAATTGGTTCCTCAATGATCTCCTCATCTGAATGACCGTATCCATTCAGATCACCGGTCAACAGCTTTGTTGGTTCATTCAAAAAATTCCTGTAATTATTTGAGTACCGTTAACACATAGACTTAAAAATTAACTACTTTTGTTACACCTTAGGTTTTTGTTTCTTGCTTATTTTCTTTGGCTCTCTTGCTAATTTTTTTTGTTACACCCTGAAAAGTGGTAACCTAAGCAGGAAGTAGTTTTTATTTTTATATTCATTTTAATTGCATGTTCAAGACTTGTTTTGGTTAGAATTTACATGTATCAACAACTGCACTTATAAAACAAACTAATATTAAATTGGGCAAAAAAAGCTGTTTTTTTTTCTTAAGTTTATAATTGCTTCGTCTACTTTTTTTTTTAACATTTATACACTATTATATCTAGACAAATTATCAAAAAAAAAAGCGATGGAAATAAATTAAACAAATTTATTTACCTAGGAGGTATTGATAGTGCCAGTTGTAGACTCAGGAAAACGACAAGAACCAACGCTGATAGGAACATGCTTTCTACAAATAAGAAGAAGAGGAAGAAAAATTCGTGAAAATTTTGGTAATTTTTTT